TAATCTTATGAATGTTAAAAATAATGTTGTAACCTTTGCTCCCTCTTGTTACAATAAACATATTTTAAAGAATACCAGAGTTTGCTTCGGATCTGAATGTGTTGAATCTAATGGTTTGTCAAAATTCGTGACTTAAGCCTACCTCCGGCAAAGAGACGTCCCTCGAACATTAGGAAACACGTTTGCTTGAATACGTGAACTAACTCGTCTGTGCGCCATTATTTGTGCAAACACTGCAACTGACTTTTGATCTTTTTCTTTTCTTTTCTTTTCTTGTATTACCTTATTATTCCCCAATGAAGTTTGTTTTAGTTGCCCTACTACTGGCTGAGCCACCCTACAACATGAGATCGAAAGGGAAGATGACTGTAACTGATAACCCGACCAAACATGCTCTGGTGATAGTTGATAGCCCGGGGAGATCAGGAGAAAAGGATGATACTCAAAATGACAAACATGTTGCTAGTATGGCCCAAAATATGGAATCGCTAAGGGAGGAGGTACAACACATTCAAAAATTGGCACATTTGGCTATGACGACGCTCCCACATCCACCTCGTTTCCCTTCACTTGATTTGAGCCCCGACCATTTTCCCCTAACTACTCTCCAAGAAAACAATACCCCGTTTTCAGTCTCTACGACCTGGATTATACCCCCAGTAACCACTGCAAACCCAACAAATCCTCCCATACACACCCCTTATGTACCAAATTACCATCAAACACCTCAAAATCCACCTGTCGCTACCAATATAGTTTATACGCCTCCTCATGATGGGGTCAACTTAACCACCAATCAAGACCATCACATACTCTCGGCACATACCGCTGCACACGAGAGATATGTTTCTCCCTATATGCCATTTTAAAATCCACTTTCACTGTGCCCATCATGGTTAGGCTACCTTATGAAATTGATCAATATTGTGAAATGGAAAGGGAAGCTAAGTTTAAGAAGGAAGATTTGACTAAGTATTGCATCAAAGCTCAGGAGGAATCTACTTTGAAAGAATGATGGGCATGACTGGGCATAAGTTCCCCGAATTTGGTAAGATGGGAGACTTCTTATAGGAAGGCAAAAAGTCTGGCAAGGTACAATCTATCGCCGTATTGCAAGCAGCTAGTAAAGCAATTCAATACGGTTCAATAGGCTGCGCAAAGAAGAAAAAAAGGAGGTATCAACAATCGTTCTATATTATCTGTCCAATCCATAACATGGAAACAACTCTTACTCTCCGAACAACAATCCTCCACACTCACCTACTTATGCTCCAATATATAATACACAACCATAATACAATCGCCAACAACAATATAACCCACCTCGCGCCCATACAAATCCAATTCCACCACGACCATATGCTACAGTTAAAACTACCACTCATCTAAATCAACCCTCCTATGTACCCTGACCTTGGCCAAATTTTGAAGGAAGAGGTCTCAGAAGCTACACCCTGATTGCTGAGCCTTTGGCTCAAACAGTTTGAAAGACTAATGAGAGTTGGCTTGATACATCCAGTAGAAGGGAGGGTCCCTGAGCATCCTTCAAAAAACTTTGATGCAACCAAATGGTGCATCTATCATTTAGGCGTACCGGGGCATGACACCAAGGATTCATTCAGGTCGAAAAATGAAATTGAGTAACTAATTAAAAGTGGATCCATTCAGTGCACCCTAGCTCCACCTAATGTGAACCATAACCCACTACCAAACCAATGGAACCAAGGAGCCAACATGATCACCCTAGATGAAGAGTACAACTTGAAAGGAGCCATCGTCATATAGGAAACACTGAGGCTGTAAGGGTTCCACCCCGAAGGACTCCGGTGAGCACCGTACAGTCATAGTCTAGGCATACTAGCAAAAATCCACTGCCGCTATCAGAAATGAGGAGGATCAAGAATACAAGACAATCTCGTGGACGTACCAATAGAAAGGGAAGGGAAAGATGACGAAAACTGCAGTGGCTCTTGGAATAACCAGGTCAGGGAGATGTTAAGCTCCGAAGAGATGAACTTCCCATAGAAGGCGTGGGTCACAATAGAGCACTATACATCACCGTCAAATCTGGAGATAAGGTGGTGTCCCGAGTACTTATTGATGGAGGATCCGAAGTCATTATATGCCCGCTCTCTACCCTATGTGAGTTGGGTATTCATATGAGAGAAGTAAAAGAAAGCCATATGGTGGAAAGAGCTTTAGACGAGTCGTAGAAGGACGTTAATGGGGAAATCTATTTAGCTCTGTAAATTGGACCAGTAGTTTCCCATACTATTCCAAGTAATGGACATTTCATCCTCATATAACATGTTTCTCGGAAGACAATTGATATATATGGCAGGGGTAGTCCCGTCTACCCTCCATCAACGCATGAAGTTTGAGTGGGGTTATCAAGAGATTGTATTTCATGGTGAATGAAGTCAATCAGCTTATCTAGAACATGCAGTTCTATTCATCGAAGGATTAGATTGGGTTGCTTTTCATGTGGTCAGGATCATGTAGACCACGGAGATAGAAAAGACTGAGCAAAACCTGGGTATCCAGTCACCATACAGATCAAAGATAGCTATGAGAGAAATGATGAAGTGCAAGTATCGACCAGGGACCGGGCTGAGAGCCCGATCAGATGGGATAATGGAGCCTATTGAGACAAAAGGGTAGAAAGGTAGAGTCGGCATATTGTATCAGCCTCCCATTGGAAAGACATACTTTAGTGGCTTCAGAAAGAATGCTTTTGTGCTAGAGTATTTTTCGGGTCTGGGTCAGAGCTCAACACTAGAGGACGACATCGTTTATAGAATGGGAAGGTTGTTCATGATCATGATCAAAGATTGCTGCAACAATGTTGATATCAAGACACCGACCATTCAGAAAGCCGAACAATGAGAGGACTTGTAGAATTTGAACGCCAGCCTATCTTTGGTTTGCCTGGAGTCTTGGTAGTGTGGAATTGTAAAACATTTTGCAAAAAGGCACGGTCAATTAAGGCTTGAACCGTGCATGTACTCTTTTGTGAATTGCCTCCTTGAACGCTTAGACGTTCCTCCTTTGATGAAATAAAAAGAATTGTTTTTGTAAAAATTATTGCAAATTTATTTATCGCTTCATCTATACTTAGTTTTTCTTTTAGTAATCAAAATGATAAAAACCCACGTTCTGCGATTATTACATGTAACGAAGCCCTCGAGCAGAGCGATCTAGATTATGAGGAATACGACGAAAGCATGATGACATATAATATACCACAAGAGATCGAACAGGTGGAAAGCCAGAAAAAGTCTAACCTTGAGGTAAAAATAGTAGTCAACCTATGAAGCGAAGAAGAGATGAAAGAAACTCGAATCAGCATCCATTTAGATGTAGAGCAGAGAGAGGAAGTAGTCGAGCTCCTCCGACAGTACATCGAAGTATTCACATGGTCGTACAATGACATGCCCGGATTAGGCACCAACATGGTTTCACATAGATTGCCTACCGATCCTGCTGGACCGCCGGTCAAACAAAAACCCAGAAAGCTAAAGCCGGACTTGAGTTTAAGGATAAAAGAAGAAGTAACCAAGCAGATAGAGGCAAACATGGTGGGAGTCACCAATTATCACACATGTTTGGCAAATATCATACCGGCACCAAAGAAGGATAGGAAGATCGGGATATGTGTGGATTATCGAGATCTTAACAGGGCCAGTCGGAAAGACGATTCCCTTTACCAAACATTCATATCCTCTTCGATAATTACGCGAAGCATGGGCTGGAGTCATTCGTGGATTATCTCCTTGGGTAACATCAAATCCTAATGCATGAAGAAGATGCAGAGAAGACAGTGTTCACTATGCCTTTGGGAGTTTATCACTACAGAGTCATGCCATTCAGCCTCAAGAACGCTAGTGCTATTTACATGAGGGCCACGACGACCCTCTTTCAAGACACGATCCACAAAGAGATCAAGGTATATGTGGATGACATCGTTATCAAATCACGAAAGAGTGCAAAATATTTGGATGACCTGAAGATGTTGTTCGAATGCTTGCAGAAATATAGTTTGAAGTTGAAACTTGCAAAATGTGTATTCGAAGTCCCTGCTAGAAAACTTTTAGGCTTCATCGTAAGTAGGAAAGGGATATAATTGGATCCTTCGAAGATCAAAGCCAATTAAGACTTACCACCGCCTAAAAGCAAGAAGGACGTGATGAGTTTCCTTGGTAGGCTAAACTATATATGTAGATTCATAGCCTAGTCTACGGTAATTTGCGAGTCTATCTTCAAGCTGCTGAAAAAGGATGGCGCTAAAAAATGGACAGAAGAGTGTCAGAAAGCCATCAACAAGATCAAGGAGTACTTGTCAAATCCACCAGTATTTGTTCCTCCCGAGCCGGGGAAGCCATTGTTGTTATACCTATCGGTTCTAGATTATGCATTTGGATGCGTGTTGGGACAACAGGATGAAATCGGGAGAAAGTAGCAATCTATCTACTACTTAGGCAAGGAGTTTACACCATGCGAAGCCAAATACACTCTGATAGAGCCACTTGCTGTGCCTTCACTTGGATCACCAAGAATTTGAGCATCACATGTCAGCATACACAACATATCTAATATCCCGGCTTAACCCACTCAAGTATATTTTTCAGAAACCGATGCCTACAGGAAAACTAGCCAAATGGAAGATTCTTCTTAACGAATTTGACATCATGTACGTAACATAGTAGGCCATCAAATGACAAGTCTTAGCTGACCAACTTGTAAAGAATCTAGTGGACAAGGATTATGAGCCACTCACTACATACTTTCCGAACGAAGAAGTGTTGTTCGCCGGAGAAGACATTGCAGAGTCACACACAGGATGGAGAATTTTCTTTGACGGAGCAACTAATTTCAAAGGAGTAGGAATTGGGGTAGTCTTAATTTCACAATCAGGACAGCATTATCTTGCACCCATAAAGATAAGGTTCCCCTACACCAATAATATGGTAGAGTACGAAGCATGCATCCCAGGGATTAGAATGGCAGTCGACATGAACATCAAGGAGTTTCCGGTCATAGGAGATTTTGATATGTTAGTACATCAAGTTCAAGGAGAATGGACTACCAAGAACGTCAAGATCCTTCCTTACATGCATTGTGTAAAGGATTTGCGCAAGATGTTTGCAAAGCTCGAGTTCAGGCACATTCACAGGATCCAGAACGAGTTTGATGATGTTGTCGCAGCCTTGTTATCCATGATCCAGCATCCAGAAAAGGATTACATCGACCTTATTGAGATAGAGATCAGGGATCAACATGCATACTATTTCCATATAGATGAAGACCCAGACTGTAAGCCGCGGTACCACGACATCAATATGTTCCTCGAAACAAGAGAGTACCTAGAGAATGCCACCAATGTTCAGAAGCGATCGCTCAGAAGGCTAGCAAAATCACTTTTTTTGCAACCCTGTATAGAAGAACCCCAGACTTGGTCTGTTAAAATGTGTAGACGCTACTGAATGAGTGGATTGACAGAAGAAATACATGCAGGGACGTGAGGACCCACATGAATGGCTTCACCTTAGCCAAGAAGATTTGAAGAGTCGGATATTTTTTGATGACCATGGGAAGCGATAGTATCTGATATGTGCTAAAGTGTCACTAGTGCAATATCCATAGGTATTTTATCCGGGTTCCACCTAATGAGTTGAATGTAATGGGTTCACCTTGGCCATTTCCCACTTGGGGCGTGGATGTAATCAGACCTACAGAGCCCGCTGCACTATATGGACATCGTTCATCCTGGTAGACATTGATTACTTCGACAAATGAGTCAAAGCTTCTACATACAAAGCCGTCATGAAGAAAGTAGTGATAGACTTCGTACGTAACAACATAGTTTGTCGGTTTGGGATACTGAGTAGATCATCCTTGACAATGCAACCAATCTCAATAGTGAGCTCATGATGGAAATTTGTTTAGAATCGTCCACCATAACTCTACAGCCTATAGACCACAAATGAATGGAGAACTTGAAGAAGACAACAAAAACATTAAAACGATTCTACAAAAGATAGTGGACAATCATAGGCAATGGCACGAGAAATTATCCTTTGCCTTACTGGGTTATCGAACCACCATGAGAACATTCACTGGGCAACTCCATACACATTGGTATATGAAGGTATGATACCCGCAGAGGTCGACATACCATCTTTAAGGGTCATTCAAGAAGCCAAGTTTGTCTACGCATAATGGATACGGGTCAGGCATGAGAAACTCATGCTCATAGATGAGAAGAGAATGGACATAGTGTGCAATGGTAAGCGGTATCAAAATAGGATGGCCAGTACATTCAACAGAAGGGTATACCGGGTTGTTGGTTTTGAAGAAAATATTTCGTCATCAAGAAAAAGCCAAAGGAATGTTTGCGCCAAATTGGCAGGGGCCTTACATGGTCCATCGAGTTTTGTCGGGAGGATCTCTTATCTTGGTAGAGATGGACGGAAGAGTCAGCACAAAGCCTATCAACTCAGATGCAATCAAGAGATACTACATTTGAAGACAGTAAAGTTAGGTTTTTGCTGTAACCTACAGAGTCATGCTATTCGGCCTCAAGAACGCTGGTACTATTTGCATGAGGGCCATGACGACCCTCTTCAAGACATGATCCATAAAGAGATCAAGGTATATATGGATGATGTCATTATCAAATCTCGAAAGAATGCAGAACATTTGGACAACATGAAGAAGTTTTTCGAATGCTTGCGGAAATATAGTTTGTAGTTGAAACCTGTAAAATGTGCATTCGGAGTCCCTGCTGGAAAACTGTTAGGTTTCATCGTAAGCAGGAAAGGCAGAAGCAACTCATGCTCATTCACGAGAAGAGAATGGACATAGTATGCAATGGTCAACTGTATCAAAATATGATGGCTAGTACATTCAACAAAAGGACATACCGGGGGAGTTGGTTTTGAAGAAAATATTCCCTCATCAAGAAGAAGCAAAAGGAATGTTTGCGCCAAATTGGTAGGGCCTTACATGGTCCATCGAGTTTTGCCGGGAGAAGCTCTAATCTTGGTAGATATGGACGAAAGAGTCAGCACAAAGCCTATCAACTCATATGCAATCAAGAGATACTACATTTGGAGACAGTAAAGTTAGGTTTCGGCTGTAACAGAAATACACTCGACTCGACTTCCCACGGAGGGATAGGATATGACCCACGTAAGGTCCTATCTCTCCCCTCCCCCCCTCTTCTTTTGTAATAGGAAATCCTAATATCATTTTTTTATGTATTTAGAAGTACGCCGTGACTTGATTTTGTTTGGAAGGAATACGTAGGCAATCCTCATCGGATCCAGTCATCTATTGTAATTGAACTACGTTTTGGTCTGCTTCCATTTGTATATGTAGACCATCCGAGTTAGACTCGGCCACTTCATTTTGAATCTCATCATTTTGCATCTATTGTAATCGAACTACGTCTTTACCAGATTCCATTCTGATACGTTGGCTGCCCGAGTCAGGCTCAGTCATCAACATATTTTTTTTACTATCACCCACAAACTACGTTCAGACCTGGTTCCATTTTGGATACGTAGGAAACATGAAAATGTTCGGTCATATCCCTAGGAAAACCTTTATAACGCATTAATTTAGATTTGGATGCAACCTAATGGGAAAGAAGCCACATTATCAGAGGCATCTTAGAGGATCAACATCAGTAGAGTCTTCCAAAAACAACGTGTGCGTCTGAGGGAATCTCTAGACATGTCAAAATTTGGAACGATGGCATTTGCCATAAGATAAATGATTTTCAATATGTTTCCAAAAAAACCGTTCTACTTACCGAACTTCATCGAGTAACCTCACCAGGCCCGGTGCAAAGCCAGGACTACGGTCGACACAAACCAACACTGCCCGCCATGCTAGGAATTTTACTTTGAATGCAAGACTGACAGGATACGAGGCAACACTAGGGCATGTTGGGGCAATGTCGGATCTGCCACTCTCTCATACATTCCATCTCTCTTTCATTATTCAAAATTTTCCTGATATAGCTAAAAACTAACTTTCAAATCCTTTGCAGTTATTTCAGAACCAGGTCACTGAGGCAAGCGAAACATATTATAACTAGCAAACCGTTTGCTCAACCTAGCGGATCATGTTATATATAGCGAGCTGCTGGCCCTGCCGACCGGAGCATTGTGTCTAGCAAACTACCTGCTTAACCAAGTGGAGCATATTATATATAGCAAGCTGCTGGCCCAGCCAACCGGAACCATGTACATAGAAAACCATCAGCTCAATCGCCTTTTACAAATTGAGATGTCGGCTTTACCAACCGCCACTCCGCCACATCGCAGATTATAAGTAGATAGTCGCAAACCTCGTCAGCAACGTGCTGCCAATCGACGACCGCAATTAGTTTTGCAATCAAGTGTATCTCTTAGGCATGCTGCTTATTTCCTTATGTTATCTCGAATGTTTTGACATTTTTCTCATGCAACATATAGGCATGATACATTTTCAAGTCATAAATTTCTATAGTGAGGAGATGCTTTACATTTCAACCGCTCCCATCACACGGAGAATACATTCTACATTGCAAGCCAACCACTCCCATCGTGTGGTGATACATTCTACATTACAAGTGAACTACTCCAATCGTGCGGAGATACTCCCAATGTGAGGAGACTTAATGCTCCGACAACTACGGAACGACACATAGCCGGGCTAAAAATGGAGTCAAATTCAAGTATCCCGTTGTCTCGACTCCAAAAACGGCTAGCTGGCAGCCAGGCATCATCATTCCTGCATCATTTACATCACATCTTAACATATCTGCATTACAATATATGGGTATGTGTGTATTTTGTTCTTGCAGGAATAGACATCGAGACGTGAAACTTCTTCTAAGCAGCAAACCAAGCTACATCGCTATGAGAGACAACAAACTTATATGCGGGCGAAGATCAAAACTCAAACTCAAAAACGATTAGTGGAGCTCTAGTTCTTCAAATCTCTCAAATCAAGCCGCAGTTCAAAGCTATCATGGGTACCAAATCCTCTGTCTCGAAGTATCTCCATAATACGATACTGGGGCAATTTCTGCATGCATCGCCTCCTTCAAACCTTCACTCTAGAACAACATGAGGCCTGATCCTCGTTAAGCCCGAGGTATGTAAGCAATTCAAAATTAGAATTCGGCCCCTAGACCCTAAAATTCTCCCGTAATCTTCCTTAACTCCCAATTCATAATCTTCCTTATATCCGTATGCCGTTCCTGCAATGCATGCCTGAGGTCGAGAAAAAATTGGCCTTTGGTTCAATTTCTTTGCCCGAAAACTCTTTCATCGTCTCCGGTCAAAGAGGGGCAGCTGTTGACAACCAATTTTGACCCTCCCTTTTATAATTAACCTACTTGTACTTAATAATTTTCAGTAAGTATATTGAAAACAGATCTAATTAATATATCCTTATTTTTATATAAATTAAGTAATTAATGGTGTTAAATTAATAATTGTACGCGGTAAAAATCAGAAGACTTGATTTTCACTATCAAGACAATTTCGGAAGCCTTCCTCGAGACCCCGAGGATGGAAGGCCACGATCGAGTTCTCGGCCTCAGGGCTCGTCGAGGTCCGAATCAAAGGAAGCAGGGCCCGAGGTCAGGGTGAGAGGAGATGTCTNGGGAATCGACGATAACTAATCAACCAACAGGGTCCGTCTGAACGCCCGGCCCCCGTTCATCATGGGCCCCTGACCGGAGTCTCTTCAAATCGCCTGCTGAAGACGTCCCGGCTCGCAAAAGACTCCGGCCACCTGCCAGGTCGAAACCGGTACTCGATACTCCATCCGTTGTCTCATCAGTATGAGAACGGGCCGTAACGGCATTAGATTCCTGCCTGCAGGCCTCCATCTCCTCGACCCGAGGAACAGCCAGTCCCAGACGACCTTCAGAGGGCGCCGAAGGACTATGCTCTCCCTCACCTTCAGCACGAGGATTTCCCGCCGCGACTAAATCCAGAATTGATAAGTCGACCTTGGTTTCCTCAACTTTGGCCCTTTTCAGCTACGGCAGGTCGATCGGAGCATCCCTCAGCCTTTTCTTCTCCTCGTCAAGCATCCGGATATCTCCTCCGGTGTGCGACACTTCCTTTATCAGTAAAACCCCTCCCAGACCTGCATAAGCTGTGATATCTTCATCCCGAGCAGGTATCTCCACGACCACAGCATCCCCCCAACCACAATCGACTTTCACTCTCCCTATATCCGTTATGGAGCTGATGAAGCGAGTTACTGGTTCGCGATACCCCGATCTAGAAGAAGGTCTTTCGACCCTAAAATCCAAGGTCATCGCGAAAGATCCCGAGACACACTCCTCGACTCGGGGAGGAGCCGTCACTTCACCTTGGGAGAAGAACGAAGATGCTGAGCCTGCCATATCCCTAGAAACTGCTGTAGAAATGTTCGCCATCCTTGAAAAAGCCCAGAAAAGGGGGAAAGCAAGGGA